AGCACATATCCTGCCTCAGGTGGCCCAATGAAGCATAACAGGAGGAAAGAGGTAAAGGAGCAGGGGACACGAGGAAGAAAAGAAAGAGGAGGAGGAGGCAGAAACCTCCGAGCGGTGAAATGTAGACAGCTAGTGAACAGCTTATGCTTCGACTCTGTACAGACTTATGCAACATTTCCAGGACCAAACAGTTGTAGCCAAGCAGCTACTGTGGCAGTGAAAACAATGCACATAGATCTAATAGGTGCTTATCACCCCATTTTCACACAAATCCCATCTCAGAACACTTCATTTGCTGAGGCTGTGTACTGCAACAAGCACTGTTGCTGTGCATTCTCTGTCTTGGTGTGTTTGTGTTCAGTCAGTTCAGCCGGTGCTTAGCGCTCTCCTGGGACCACACTCGATGTGGTCTTTGAGTTAGCCTGAAGGGATGAACGCCGTCTGCTCTCAAGCCTGTGCAAAAGATGTGGAAGTGGACCTAAAAGATAGATGGGTGATATTCTGGTGTGCTGAACTGATCGTGTCTTTAATTTCCTTTGGTGAGACAGCAGCTCTCTACGAAGGTACAGCAGCAGCTGGAGCACGCTAGAAGGATCTATCCAAGCACACATGCAGTACAAAAATCTATTAACTCCACTGCCCTTAGGTCTAGTAGCTTAGAACAATTAGCTTTGGAGTGTGAAAACTCAAATGTTTCAGGAAATAGACGTGTTTTTTAGCACTCGTTAAAAGATGTTAGCATTACATTTAGGTACGTGAATTAGAAACGTTCTGGAAACCATGGGGAAGAACAGTTTCTTGCATATCTTATTTGAATTGGAAAACTTTCACTGAATGAAAATAAGAACTCTTTATCCAGCCAGTATGTTCAATATTTTACTTTTAATCTGACACCGGGGCTGCGCAGCTCGGTGGACAGTGCTGTGGTCTTGTAATCCTGAGGCTGCAGGATTGAGCCCAGGTTGTGTCAAGAAGGGCGTTCAGTGTTAAATAAATATTTTGCCTATATATATTTGACTTCTTGTAAAGAGGAAGCAGCCTAAAAAGTACTTTTAATTTGACACAACTAAACTAAATTATCTTTGTTTATCATCTTGGTGGTTAAAAAAATACTATAAAACTACTTGAAGATCCTGTAAAGAAAACTACATTCAATAAGAATATTTGTGTTTTTCCAAATATTTAGATCGCAGTCCATGTTATGATTCTTGTGCACATGGGTCTGAAGTCAGTGACAGTACCCCTCTTGAAAAAAGCTTCAGTAAACACATTGATCCCGTGAACCAGTGTGTCAATAGTGTTTTCCCTGTTTTTCCTTCTTGGCAAGTTCAAATACTCATACTGAGAATTACTGTGGGTCAACCAGCAGCAAACAGCGTGAGGGAAAGCAACACTGGAGACTTTACTTGCAGTTGTGCTGCAAACTAAACATCGCTACACTTATCCGAGTTATTAAACAGCTTCTTCAGAAAGTACAGAACATAACGATCCAGAGGATAACCCATTGAATAAATAATTGGTATACTTCAAGCAGTTCATATCTGCTCCTCCTACTCGTATCTGACTGGCTTTAGAGACTTTGAAAGACAAATTCAGTTCTTTCATTCCTCAGGGCACTTTGGAAGATGTATGAAAAACATAAAACACTTTGCTTCAACTGCAGCATTTCATCCACGTCTTTCTTATTGATGCAAGGCTCTAAACAAGACCTTGAGAAGACGACGACTCCCACAGTGCACCTTTTGTCAGAAACGGACTCTTTAGAGAGCGATGTCGTTCAACATTTATACCAGTCGTTTTGAATGACTGGTATAAAACATCAAGTGAACAGACGGTGAACGTTTCCGCTCATAGAATGAGAAATTAAGCCATATATGCTGTTGTATGAAATATGACTGTATGTTCAAAAATGTTCAAACGTATGAATGTTGTTCTATTTACAACATCGCAACACTGCAAAATAAACAGATTAAAACTAAAATATACAGAAAAGTGTTTAAGTCTAAGTTATAGTTTAGGGATGCACGATATAATTCGGCATGGTATCGGTATCAGCCGATGTTAGCATTAAAGTTAAATATCGTACATCAGCCATTCCATCAAAATAACTCGCAGATAAAAAAGACGTTTTTGTACGACAACCCAGTGACAAGGACGCTGCAGCGTCGGCACAACGTGATGACGTCACACGCACGCCTACCTGCTCTCACAGCAGAGAGAAATTTTTCAAAATGTCGGCGGTGTGACGTTTTTTACCGTTGAGGATATTGGATTCCAAAGATTTTTGGATCACGTTGAACCTCGCTACATGGTCCCCAGTCAGAGATATTTTTCCGATGTAGCCATACCCAAGTTACAAGCCGCCATTTCCGACATCATGGAGAAGCTAATAGCTGATAGCACTCGGATGAGTTTTACCACAGACATTTAGACGTTGTGTTAGCCCCGTTAGCATGATTAGTGTTACGGCACAATGGATAGACAAAAACTTTGATCTTAAAAAGTCTGTCCTTCATGCACAGGAGTGCAGAAGATCCCACACTGCAGCTATAGGAACCTGGAACAAGCCTCTACAAGTGAGACAGCATCGCAGGTGACTAATGCTAATAAATAACATTTAACACTTTTCATTTAATATAAGTCAAAGTGCTCTGCAGATCATAAGACTGTTACTGAATATATAGTTATCCCTATTATAGTTAATAGGTAACAGCACCAATAATTATGTTATAACTTCATATTGCTGTTTGTCCTTAAGAACATGCAAGTAGCCCATAATTCAAAGGCATAAGTTATTCAAAGAGTGGTTTTCCACGATGTACTTACTGTGTACTCAGTCTTTCAGTGTCTCGTTATTCAATGTAATACTTGTGCTGTAATTTGTGTGTACTATATTCCTCATGGAAGATTGCCTGAAATGCTTTGATCAGATTAAGATTATTTTTGTCATGCATCAGTATCCTTCTAAAATCCTTTACTGTTCTTTGCTGCTTGCCTCACTGATTGATGCCTCTTATATGAGCTGCAGTTTATTTCCTTCACAACACGCACAGAATATCCGATCGAGTGTTAAACTAGGATAAATGAGAAAGTAAAAGGAAATAACTCACGTGCTGATGACTATTTTATGTTGTGAATAAATTACAGGGGAGAACAGCTTTTCATTAAAGCAACACACTGAACAAAACCTTAGTTTGTTTTCCTCCTCGTAAAGGAAAAACGTGGAAGCAACCATCATTTTCCAGCTTTGCTCTTCTGGTGAAGGGTATAGAGCATTGTCAGAGGTCAACCATACATCAATTAATGCCCTCAAATGAGTTATTCCCTTATGAATCACCACCTAATAGCAATAAAGCATTTGAGGGATACTGGGTAAACAGTCGAAAAGCAAATGTAGTGCACTTACCAGCCGGTATCTCAAACAGTGCAGAGATCATTAGCACAATGACTCTGTTATGTGCTGAGGCCACGATGTAATACATTAACAATACAAATGTGAACCTGCATTAAGCATCTGGAAGCTACCAAAACGGTTTATGGATTGTTGTTGTTTTAATTAGAGCAAATATTAGCTAAAACTGAAGTAAAGGCACAAAACAGAATAAACCAGCTCATGTCTTTATGCTACTAATTTGCTTTTAACTGAAACACAAAACAGTGTTTTTTATATAACGTCACAGCCGAAGGATCATTTCTTCTATAATGCAGTCGAAGTAATTACAGCCCCAGAGATTAAGTTTAGTCAGGGACTTGAACCATTTGTGTCAATTTGTTAGAAAAACAGTCCACTTTTTGTCTTTTTCCTCCCAGTATTTGACCCATTAATGTGATTAAATATAGCTAAAGATGTTTAGTAAGCAAAGGAGCTAAGGTCATGGACACACAGGGAGGGGGACGCTCAACAGTTCATTTTGTGCCGACTAAATGGACGCTGAAGTATGATGGAAAATAAGCTTATCTTTCACGACTTGACAGAGCGAATTAAACCCTGGGCTTCTGAATAGAGTGGAGCCATATTTCATGTTGAGGAGGTCGGTAAATGGCACTGGAAAGTCTCAAAGCTGACATAAATATCCTGATACCAACCTGTCACACAGACACGACGACGCACGCATATATGAGCTGCTCTTTTGGGATACAGGGTGGTATTCTGAAGAATTTAAAGCTTTGATTGTGAGCATTTAGTTATCTTTTTTTTACTTATAGACATAAAATGTGCTTCTTCATTTAGTTACAGATGATTTCATTAGGTTGTCTGCATTACAAGGCAGTTTGACTTTAGTGAACAAGCGCATTTGTGTAGCAAAAACCAGCCTTTGTCTAATGTTGTGCACCAATTTGATTTTATTATAGACCATTGTTACAAGCATACGTGCAGATTCTGTCCAACAAAGGAAAAAGTATCTTTATTCTGTGATGTTCTCTGTTTAGAGGGGTTTGTCCCTGCTCCAACACACCTGACTCTGCTTTAATTAACACCAACAGGTCATTTTCATTAACCATCAGTTTAACTGGTTCAGACTGAGGATGAGGAGCACAGTGCTGCTCGTGTTGGACTACACCCAGTTTAACAGGATTTACCTCCAATATTTGCACTTTTTGAGCTTAAACGTGAAATTTCTGCATTTGTGTCGCTTCGCTTTGAAACGACAGACCAAACAAGATCAAAGGTCAAGATCAAACAAGACCAAGACAAGATCAAAGGTCAAGATCAAACAAGACCAAAGCAAGGTCACTCAACGAAACAACATTTTAATTAACAAAATTAATTTAGTAAAGTTTATTAGAAGATGGTGGCTTGGGTGAAATATTTTTGAAAGCTTGGTGGTTTCAATAAAAACCCACCACATGTTTGCAGCACTTAATAATAAGCGTTGATGAGCTCAAAAGAAAACCGCCTCGGCCACTCCCCGGTTGGAAACATCAAAGAAAGTTGAAGAAGTACACGGAAACCATTTTCATGGGTCTGTCAGAAGAAGACGAGGCTCCGCGTCACTCACCGACGTGTTGGAGCGAGTCTGTCCCACGTGCGGTCCTCCAGTCCTCGGCTCGGTGTCTCCAGCTGTCCCTCGGTGTCCTCACGCTAAACGGCAGCATGTCGAGCCTGACATCGCGTCTGTGCTCGCTGTTGGTCTCTGAGCGGCGGGGGAGAGTTTTCCTCACCCCTGCTTCTGTGTGCGCGCGCGCGCGCGTGTGTGTAACCAGTAGCAGGTCCGCGCGCGAGCCAATCCCGTGGAGCGTCACACCTCTGTGCTCCCTCCTCCTCTCGAGCCTCTCTTTTGCGGTTAGAAGAGAAAAATAAGAACATTTTCCAAATGCCGGGATTATTAAACATGGAGGGTCGGGATGCTGCGCGTGAACATGTGAAGTGCAGCTGAAGTTACAGATTATGGTCATGATGACCTCATGCGCTCAGAGTAGATGAGGATGACTCTCAGCTACCTCCACATCAAACTTTAGCTCTAAGTTTAGGCTGTAGTCCAGTAATGATGATGATTACAATCCATCCAATGGGGGAGTGGTGGTGCAGAGGTTAGAAGTGAGCCTGTGATCAGAAAGCCACCTGTTTGACTCCCCAGACCGTCCATCCATTCATTATCTTTACTCGCTTCTTCCTTTTTGGGTCATGTGAGTCACTGGTGCCCATATCCAGCTATCACTGTGCGAGAGGCGGGGGACACCTGGACAGGTCTCCAATCCATCACAGGGACACACAGAGACAAAAAACCATTCACTCTCTCACTCACACCTAGGGACAATTTAAAGTTACCAATCAACCTAACATGCATGTTTTTGTGGGAGGAAACCGGAGTACACGGAGAAAACCTACGCATGCATGGAGAGAACATGCAAACTCCACCCAGAAAGGCCCCCGGACCAGGATTTGAACCAGGGTAACCTGTTCGCTGAGAGGCATCAGCTCTACCAGTTGTGCCACCGTGCCGCCCTTCCCCAGACCGAATCAAAATGTGCGTGAAACGCCCAGACCTGCCTCCACTCTCATTTGACGCACTCTGGGCCCCTGAGCAAGGTCCCCCAAACCCCACCATCCACTTCCCGGCATGCCCTAGATGTCTCTGCTCCACACAGAGGGCTGTGGTGACTCAGTGTCTGTGGTTGTCAGGAAGAACATCCGGCATAAAAATAATTGTCAAGTTTTTGTGTGAGTTATTTCGCTGTGGTGACCCCTGAAGAAGGGAACAGCTGAAAGAAGAAAAAATCCGTCAGCGGTTCATGAGATATTTTGCTAACAGGCAGATTGTATTGACTTGAACCGTTGCCAAATGTTCAAACAAAGATCTCACACAATTTGTTATCACTCAGAGTATGTGTTGTGGCTCCATCCTGGCTGCTACCACACCTAATTTTAGCTCATTGCTGCAAACTAAGAGACGGACATCTTTGTGTAGGCTAACATCGATCAGCAGTGGAAGTCGAAGATGTTCATCCAAATAGTACTTTCTCAGAGTTTGAATAAAGTCAAGCTCGTGGTTCATGAGAAGGTTGATCTTAACAGGTAAAGCTCAAGATTTAAGAAAAGATCTCATTCAACGTGCAGAGCTCAGAGTATATTATGAGGATGACTCTGACTCGTTGTGACTCCAAATTTTACCTCAATATCTGTTAAATTGGCAGAGTTAGACATTTTCAGCTCTCAGTTTAAAACTCTGGCATGAATGGCAGCAGGCGACATGCAGCTCTTCAGTGACTTGAAATGATAAAAAGCTCAGTTGCTGCTTTATTTTTAAAGAGAAGCAAAAATGAGCAGTTGACACTAGTGAACACGAGCAACTTTCACAACGCTGCCCCAAAGAAGTAGCACAGTGTTTTGCTTCTTGGAGTCATTTTTTCCAGACCACTGGCTCCTCTCACAACAACATTCCTGTAGGTCACCATGGTCTAAAGCTACTCAAGCTTCAAATGTGGCACATCCTCTGCAGGTTTCCATGAGGATTAAAACCATATTGCTAGACCACATTATTTTCATCTTAAGGACTGACAAACAAAAATGACTGACGTTAGCATCTTCAAATGATAAGTTTGGAGAGTTCTGTGAAGCCTGATGTTATGACCTCAACAGATGCTTTGAGTCATGTTGGTATGACTTCAGTGGTCTCGAAATAAAACATCAGCTCAGTCTGTGTGACTTATTGTGTGTGATAATAGTAGGCCAACCGAAATGTGTCCAAACAGTTCATTATCCGAAGTCACCATACAAATACTTACATCTCAGCTCAGCTTCGTCACCTCTGAGGTTTGTCACTTGACCTATATTACTGTCACTTCATGGGATTATTACAAGTGATAAATGTGTTAAAGAAAGCCCTCACCACCATGTCTCTGTAGCTCCTACCTAATTCTGATTATTTTTGGCATCTTCCAATATAAAACCTGAACCAAGACTTTCCCCTTGAACTCAATAAATGTAGTTTTCCACCATATGTTTAGATGTGCCTGAACAATTTCCAGCTCAGCTTACTTATGGAAGCCTGGGAGAAAGCAATATTTAGAACAGATTAAAACACCATTTTTATTATTTTGTTTCTATAGATATCACAATCGGCTACATGGCAATTCATACACACTGAAGAGAAGTGTGTGAGATTTTGGGGCAATGCAATCTTTGTGTTTTCTGGATGTGAGTCAGCTAAATTCCCCCTCAGTGCTGTAATTCCTCTCCTTATAGATCAGACTCCCTTTTATGGCCTTTTATTTTAGACAGAATGGATATTGCAGCATTACCAGTGAGGGTTCAGTTTTTATGTGCTTCTGTTTTTTTTGTTTTTTTTTTTTTGCTTTTAGACATGTAAACTCTAGTTATTACCAAGTTTTTTTTTAAGATGGTAGCAATACATAATACAGCATGGTACATATCCAGTACCTAGCAGGTATGCACCTGGTATGCACCAGATAGGTGCCTGAAAAGTACACAGTAAGTAACAGGTTTTTACTTGCAAGTACCCAGTTTGTACACAGTATGTAAATGGTAAATGGACTTCACTTACTGTATATAGCACATTTCTATATTATCAAGATACTCAAAGTGCTTTACAACACAATATGTGTCCTCATTTATCCATCCATACAGCACTTTACTATATCTGTACAAATACTAAGCAGTGCTTTATCACACTCATACACTGATGGGACACACATCGGAGGGAATGAAGGGTTCAGTGTCTTGCCCAGGGACACTTCAACATGTGACTGCTGGTGGAATCAAATCCCCAACTCTCCCATTGGAGGACAACTGCTCTAACCACTCAACCACAGCTGCTTGTATGTGTCAGTACATACCCTATAAGTATCAGGTACATACACAACGCATACACTATAGTATTCTGTGTGCACCTGGTATGTAACAAATAAGTTTAGATAACTTGTACGTACCAGGCACTTACCCTGTAAGTACCAGGTATAGCCAGTACATATGCTATACATGCTCTGCGGGTATGAGATAAGTATCATGTAGGTACACAGTATGCAAATGATAAGTACCAGGTATGTACCATGTATGTACCATTTACGGACCTAGTACATATTTTTTGAGTGCACAGTAAGTACCAGGTTTATACCTGCATATACCTGGTATGTACCAGGTTCATACCTTGTAAGTACCAGGCATATACCTAGTAAATAACAGGTTTAGACAGGCACATATCAGTTAAGAACCAGGTATGTACCCAGTACAGGCAAGATAAGTACAGTAGTGTCTCATTTATCACGGTAGCCAAGATTCAACTTGTCTGCTGGCCTTCTTAGATAGAGAACTTTACTAATTGGCTTTTATGTATGTGAATGTTCCTGTAAAGTGCCCTAAGATGACTTTGTTGTGATTTGGTGCTATATAAATAAACTGAATTGTAAGTGAAAAACCGCGAAAAAACTAGTAAAAGTAGTAGTTTATTTTACCTGTCTATATCTATCTATCTATCTATCTATCTATCTATCTATCTATCTATCTATCTATCTATCTATCTATCTATC